CAGTAAAAGAAGAGGGTAAAATAACTAAACGGCCCATATTCACCGTATCATTATCTTGCTGCATGGCGTCGCGAAGGTGCACGTATTCTTCGGCGCGCAGCTGCCTTTGATTAGATCGTATATAAACTAATCTTTCGATTTCAATTTTTGCGTACATGTCAACAATAAACTGATTGAATAAGCCACAAAAACATTCAAAGTTTACAAATCTATTCGGTCTCACTTGCAAGTGGTAACAATAAAATTGTAGGCATGACATCTTTTTATTATAATTAGGTGACAGGCGCACGCGGATCAGTTTGGTATAAAGCGAAATTATAACCATCTTCCCCTCGAGAGTATATCAAAGGATATTGCAAACTGTCGTAAGCCCTGTGGGTTTCGTAAATACGTTGCAAACGATTGTCTCTGAAACGGATAACGATATCACGCCTACCACATTCCTGGTCGACCAATACTACAGCAACTTCATTCGTGGATGGAACGTTATAACGCCCAGGGTGTTCCTGAGTTGGACGCCTATCGGCATTTATAACAATTTTATAATTGTTATCAACGTCTAGAGGAAGAGCTTCTAATGCCGATTTAAAACTGATGCAACATGTTCTGAAGTTGTGAAATAAGTTCAGTATTTAAATTCGGGAAATATTGGTTTCTTATATTCGACTGTTCGTTGTAGTCAGATAAAAAATATATTTGAAGAAACTTAGGTTGGTCTTCAGGCAAAAGGGATCCTATCAAATGGTAAACCTGACCTTGTATCTTAAAAGTAGGTATGAAAGGACCTTCTGAGATTTGTTGAGCACCAAAAGATGTCATTTGAAACGCACTATTATAAGTGCGAATATTGTCTAAGAACTGTTTAGATTGCACATGTTCCCCTAAAAGTAGTGACTCCAAAGGTTCCGGTGGATCTTCGAACGAAGCCAAATTTATTTTACGTCCAGAACAACAGAAACCGCGAACGGCATACATTATCTCGCGAGTCCGCAACCTACACTGAGAGGGAATTACGTCTCACAGTTGATCGCGAACGGCATGTACTATTTCGTGAGTCCGAAACCTTCACTGAGAGGGAATTACGTGTCACAGCTGACCGCGAACAGCATACATTATCTCGCGAGTCCGAAACCTACACTGAGAGGGAATTACGTCTCACAGCTGATCGTGAACGGCATGTACTATTTCGTGAGTCCGAAACCTTCACTGAGAGGGAATTACGTCTCACAGCTGATCGCGAACGGCATGTACTATCCCGTGAGTCCGAAACCTACACTGAGAGGGAATTACGTCTCACAGCTGACCGCGAACGGCATACATTATCTCGCGAGTCCGAAACCTACACTGAGAGGGAATTACGTCTCATAGCTGATCGCGAACGGCATGTACTATTTCGTGAGTCCGAAACCTTCACTGAGAGGTAATTACGTCTCACAGCTGATCGCGAACGGCATATACTATCCCGTGAGTCCGAAACCTACACTGAGAGGGAATTACGTCTCACAGCTGACTACGAACGGCATACATTATCTCGCGAGTCCGAAACCTACACTGAGAGGGAATTACGTCTCACAGCTGATCGCGAACGGCATGTACTATTTCGTGAGTCCGAAACCTTCACTGAGAGAGAATTACGTCTCACAGCTGATCGCGAACGGCATGTACTATCCCGTGAGTCCGAAACCTACACTGAGAGGGAATTACGTCTCACAGCTGACCGCGAACGGCATACATTATCTCGCGAGTCCGAAACCTACACTGAGAGGGAATTACGTCTTAATTAGCTCGCATTCGGACCCCCGCCTTTTTATACCTACCGCCGCGAGCCGCGTCGAGCGCGGCGACTGTTACACAAAAATAATCCTTATAGCATGATTCAGTATTCACGCGCGATGGCTTATTAGCGTATTTCATGTATAACTTTGGTGTTTCTATACCGATTTCTACGATTCTTTTTTATTGAATAGATAATAATGTTAACTTTTTTTTAATTAGGGATGAGTGAGAGTGTTATAAACGTAATAGTAGACAAATATAATCAGAAAGCTCCGAACTGCTAAGCTATCGAGAGTTACACGTGTTATTGTGAGTCAACCATAAAAGATAGACATATGTTGTCGTGGGATATTTTTATATAATTTTAAGGAAAACATATCCGTTGTACATGATTTCTGTGTAGCTTTAAACATTAAGGCTGCACACGCGACGGAAGCTTAAAAAATGGAGTAATTTCTCCGGTTTCCCCAACATTTACCTTCACTGCTCTGCTCCTATTGATCATAGCGTGATGAAAAGTATACTATAACCTGCCCAGGAGTATGAAGAATGATTGTACCAAGTTTCGTTAAAATCCGTCAAGTAGTTTTTGTTTCTATAACGAACATACACACAGACAGACACAAAAATTCTTCGAAATATTTTTTTATTACATATATTATTTTTTGTTTCCTCACGATGTTTTTCTTCACCACTGAGCACGTGGTAAATCAGCACTTAAAATTGGAATTAACAATGTCATTGGTGCCGGCGGGGATCGAACACGGGTTGATCGTGTACTGTGAAATTTACAGCGAGCGCTTAGCGCCTGACCTACCACGGCACATCAAATCATTTAATCTTATTTAATTATTTCAGAATAAAACATATAGGTACGTAGACATGAAAAAAATAAATCACAGATTATCGTAAAATATGTGAGACAAGTTAAGATAACGGTTATCATTATCATTTATCTACACCTGATCCTGTCCTATAGTAATTAGCTTTGATAACAAATGTGGCAACAGAGACGAACTCATACTCATAGTCAGTATTTTGTATTATTTATAAAGAACTTATAACAAGTAGTAAAATTAAAAATGTTGTACAACCGACTTCAATATAAATAAAATGAGAATATCATGAAAGTAGTCTAAGTCAATCCAATTTATGTTGGACCACACGAGAAGCACCAGTTTACAAATAAAAAAAATGAATTATCAAAATAGGTTCACCTAAAAAGTTCTGAGGTAAACTCATAAACAAAATATAGTCGAATTGAGAACCTCCTCCTTTTTTGAAGTAGGTTGGAAACTAAAACAACACGCATAGGTCATGAACTGTTATAATCTTAGGGAGAACACTAGGTCGTAGTTATGAAATTGCTGTACTGTTCATAATATATCTGCAAATTTTCAGATTAATCAGATAGTGGATAAAAAATGAATGTCTGACGTCTGTCAGATAATGGATGAAAGATGAAATAAAATTTCCATTACGCTCACACATACATACATACCAATTCAAACATATATACTTTATTTGGCGACTAATTGAAAGTTCGATTTTTTCGTTTAGTAATAAACCACAGAACAGATTTTAATGGAAATTTAATCAGGTATTCAGAAACTGGTTCCTTATTAATACAAACATTTTTTATAGGTATATGTGAGATGGAAACAGTTCACTAACGAAAAAACACACATACATAGATATCATTTGAAAAATATAATTTTACCCGGACGATTTAACACCTTCGAAAATCGAAAATAACTTTCCAAGGGAAAATTAATAATAAATTTATTTTTTTATTTTAAATTATCATCACCATTACATCCCATCACAAGTGCACTGCTGAACCTATGCTCCTATGTGGCCCAAAGAATGCCTCAAAGCACGATCATGAACCCCCTGCCATCGACTTCCTAAACTTCCGGTCCTTATTTTTTTTATTTCACCTAGTCGTGACAGTCCTACACTAGGATAAATCCTTATATGAAATTTAATCTCAAAATAAATTAAATCTTAAAAATACATTATGATGTTGCAACCTTATAATACGAGTTGGCTAAGTAAACTTGAAAGTATATTTTATATCTTTAAATATATATTTTAATATATTTATATCTAGATTGCTTATTTTCTACTAGCGATCTTCTTCGGCTTCGATCGATAGGCTTAGCACGCGTTATTTCTGGATCTCGTCAACAACGCCATCTACGTGGTCCATTTGTAAATCTAAACCATCCAGCGACCCACTAAAACATACACAAAAAAGTTCATCAAAATTGTTACACGTAGTAGAGCCATGCTGCAACTATATTAGTAGTATAGTTGTAGCACGAATGGATCGACTCGACTGAGGAAGAATCACGCTCTCACAGAATACCAGCGTAAAATAGCAGCTTAACACTGCTGTGTTTCGTATAGTGAGTGTAGAGAACCGGATACCCTTTTTACTGGAGAAGAGGCATTCCATGTTAGTCCTCACGGGTTACAACGCATCTGCATCTTGATTCGCAAACGTGGATAAATGTAGATGTCTATGGGCCACAGCAACCACTTACCATCAGGTGGACTGCGTGCTCGTTTGTCACCCTATCTTATAAAAAAAGCCTTTCTCAAGTGATGATCCTTCATACATGCGGCAACTGATTTTTAAACCGCGACGCAAAAAGGGGGGTGTTATAAGTTTGACCGCTATGTCTGTTTGTGACACCGTAGCTCTTAAACCGTTGAACCGCTTTTTGAAAAGCGATTTGTTTTTATTTAAAAGCAAATTTTCTAGCGATGGTTCTTAGACATGTTTTATCAAAATCGTCAGCTCTTTTTGTTTCAGGGGCTTTAAAATTTTCAATATAAGTTATTATTTAAATAGATGAAGCCAAATGAATCGAGCTTCGAAATAGACATTAGACGTTTCGTACAATACTTTGATCTACGTTTATCAAGATGTTTTAGAATGAGATAACAAACACTTGACGGACTGATAGCGTCTGACAGTGACAAAGCAACCCACGTATAACGAAAGGTACTTACGCGTAACGTAATCTCACACTGGCAGTCTATAGCGAAGTCGTTTCCACCGGCTGTTTCTTGTATTGGTTACCAAATATAGTTTGAAATATGATAGAAACTCGTTTCTCCATTTACGGATTTAAAGTGCTGTTAATTTAGAAATATTAGACAATTTAAATATTTTTAGAGAGTGTTTGTAAAAATAAAAAGGCAAAATCATGAAAATGACGGTATCAAAAATTTTCCTGTTACTGTCGTTTTTTGCATGTACGTGCAAAGGCAGCAACGTGCTGGTGTTCTTTCCAGTGCCTAGCAGAAGTCACAGCAGCTTAGGCAATTCCATCGTGAATATTCTTCTCGACGCGGGACACCAGGTAAAGATTCCTTTTTTACAAATTTAAATTGGATTTTAAAAAACATGTTTTGTTTGAGAGCCGTTGAAGTTCACAGGCTTAACACTCGCTGTATTTTTTTTTCTCTTTTTATAAAAATGTAACACTAGGAATATCTCCCGTGTCGTGAAGGCAGTTTACATAAATACATAAATATTAATTACACTTCTGTTTGCACAGCTATTCAATAAATTACCAGATGACATTAAAAACTGCAATAACAAGACATTGTTTAAAAGTTAACTTAGGAAATACGTACGTACAGTGTAATGTTTTAATACATGGTACCTAATATGTAAATAACCTAAGACTATATCGTTTTAATTATTATAATGTGATAATATTATCACTTCTTATGAGAAATAAAATTCCTTAAGACGATATTTCACAAGGACAAATATACAGACCACGAACCATTATTTGTAGGTCATACAAAAGTTGTTCCGTGAGGAATTCGAAGGCGCGGGCCTAATTGCTGCAACTCATTGCACATTCACTGCAATTTTCCAGCAAGCCTGGTTTGATCCCCGCGGGCACAAATGAAATTGTTAACTGCAATTTTTTTTTAGAATGCGCATGACAAGTGAGCCCACAATCCACCTGATTATTAATGGATGCAATAGCCCCAAAACACTTACATCTATCCTCGATCCGATCAAAATACCGACTCGTTATCGCCCCTAAGGACTAATATGTTCATGTATCTTTACCAGTTAAAAAGGTTTCCAGTTCTTGTCACTCGCTATACGAATTACAGCAGCATTAAGCTGTTATTTGACACTCGTATTCTGTGAGAGCGTGGTCCTTCATCGGTCGAGCCGACCAATTCGTGCTACAATCATAAATAGGTGCAGCATGACTCTACCACATTACAATAATAATAATGACCATCAGTCCGAATTTCGTTTACGTCGGCCAGTCTCATCAGAGATTGGCCATCTTCCACAAGACAGGATTATAGTGCCCGAGGGTATGCCCCTTAACTCTCATAGTAGACACGACTGGGTTTACGTGCTTTCCGAGGCACTGGGGTGAAACTGCCAACTTCCTGACACCGAACTGCTTCTGAGAATTTCTTATCAGAAAAACCCAAGAGCCGATTTTGGCCTGACCCGAAATTCAAACCCAGGTCCTCATCATAAGCAACCACTAGACCAACGAGGTAGTGGATACGGCATATCTTATCTATAGTGGGAAAGGCCCAAGTACAGCAGTGGACTGTGACAAGTTAATGGTTAATGTGACGAGGGAATAAGGTGATAGCCACCATGCTGGTTCTATGAAAATTCATTTAAAAATTGTATAAACAAAATTATTATTAAGTGAAATTATGTTTAAAAATAGTCCCGCTGGGTGTCTTGCTGGTTCTTCCAGAGATATTTTCCGAACCGTTGGTAAATAAAAAATGGCTTTCAATAAGTATTATGTAATAGTCAATATTTAATTAAAAAAAGAAAAAATGTGCTGAAGTAGTACTGAAGTAGTACGGTAGTACTGAATACTTTAATTTTACACATAGATAACGTCAAAAACGAGCTAACAGTTACAAATAACAGCTTTAAATAACATATTGTTTTTAGGTAACCTGCGTGACTCCCTTTCCGTTGAAGACGAACCACACGAGATTGACATATACGGACATAAGTTCCGTAGTTCAAGAAGCAACTGGTAAGAATCTAAACACATTTACAGGTGGCTATATCTTGATTAGTGGAACACCGATACGATGATGCGATTAGATTATTTCTCTACCAAAGTTATTATTTCACCATATCTATCCATAGTATAAAAGTAAGTCTAGTATATCAGAAAAATCTACAGTCTATCGGCAAAAACGTCATCGCTAAAATGTTGAATAGAATCAGGCGTTACTGTTTGTTAATTAGTTCAGACCCCAAAATACAATAAATTATGTGTCTTACTTAGTTTGAAGGGCACCTTCAAACCCCTCCCCCCTCCCTCATTGCATGCATTATACCCGTTACCACTACTCACAGCACCACTACTCCCAACATCACTACCCTAGGAAAGACACACCACCGTCGATAATACGACACGAGCTTCGCTTCTAAACTAGGCATCCTCAGGTTAAGTAGACTCTGCGGTTACCAGTCAGCCACCACAGAGCCTACTTACACGGGTGAACACAACATTTTACTTTATCACACGGATCAATAATTTTTATCGTCTTTAATTTACTTTTTTTTATAGGATAGGGTGACAAACGAGAACACAGTCCACCTGATGATAAGTGGTTACTGTGGCCCATAGACATCTACATTTATCCTCGTTTGCGAATCAAAATGCAGATGCGTTGTCACCCGTGAGGACTAAGATGGAATGCCTCTTTTCCAGTAAAAAGGGTATCCGGTTCTCTACACTCACCCTACGAAACACAACAGTGTTAAGCTGCTATTTTGTGAGATTAGTATTCTGTGAGAGCGTGTTCCTTCCCCGGTCGAGCCGACCCATTCGTAACTATACTACTAATATAGCTGCAGTATGGCTCTACCACGTATAAATTACTAAAAATTAAAAAAATACTAATATTTTTGCAGACTCCGCGCGCATTAACGTCGCAGAGCTGTCTAAACCAAAAGGAAGCCACTGGGTGCTGCCTATGGGGTATAACTTCGCAAGTCAGGCGTTACGTCATCCTGCAGTCCAAACGCTGCTAAAAGACACCAGTAAAACCTTTGACGTCATTATCGCTGAATGGTTATACTCTGGGTTACTCGCACCGTAAGTACTTACTCTTTTAAAACACTATTTAGTGGAGTTTTCATTATCAGCCATCAGTATACGTGCATTTCATCAGTATACGGGGCAGAGCCACGCTGCAGCTAATACTGTTGTTTTCAGTATGGTGAGTGTAGAGAACCGGAGACCCTTTCTACTGGAAACGAGGCATTCCATCTTAGTTCTTAAGGGTGACAAGGCATCTGCATTTTGATTCCTAATCAACGATAAATTTAGATGTCTATGAACCACAGCATCCACTTACCATCAGGTGGACTGTGGACATAGGCAATTAATGATATAGTTACTTCATTATCAATTGCAAACTATAAAAAAGTCTGAACTGAAAGAGGTGAATAATATCACCATTTTAGGATTGTGAAGCTGTAAATTTTCTTACAAAAAGCGATAACGTATATTTTTAATAATGCAACGTAATAATTTATAGAAAGTATATTCTAAATCTATGGTTGTAGATATAACGAAAAACTAGATCCATACGTTTTTATTTTAGGTAAAGAGATATTGCGGCGTACGACTTGAGTTATTAGCATCTAAATATCTATATTATAGACTTAAGAACTTCCTCACGCGTTATTACGTTCTTTTTTTTAATTAAATTAAACAGAATTACTAAAAAAAAATACGTACAGACCCAGATTATGGTGTACCGAATCCAATTAGACTCAAATAGTCTCATTACGTAAAGGTTTAGGTGAGTGAACACATAATCACCCAAAACAACATTTCAAAAGGAAATGTATGCAACTGCCTCCAAGACTTGCAACCCTCTCTACCACACGATACGGCGACACGGAGCGAGCGATATGAAACAGATAGATAATAATATTTTTGAAAGTACCTACTCACGCTGGCACTTCAAAATCCTCATAAGATCTTTGAGATTTATCACTTACATGATTACATATATGCTTTAGTTTATCTTTTTAAATTGATAATGCTAGCAAATATGAGTAGCAATGCTGGTAACATTACTAATACTATTTAACTACACTGTTTAAGTATATGTACCAACATAATTTTGTATATACATGGTTATTTTGCAATAACCGGTCAAATTTGCATAGAATGTTCAGAATAAGTAGTATGGGCAAATGTTGAAGAAAAATTAATAAAAAAAATCTCAAAAATTCTGTCCATTTTATGTTTAAATTTCAAAATGCGTGGTAATGCATTGTTTTAACTGATTTTACTGCGCACGGGTTAAGAGTGATGATCCCTCTAATATCTGTTTTACAAGCATATCTCTCTAATAAGTAGGCCGTGCGTCACCGTACGGATCGCTTAGTAAGATGTAAATTTATATAAATACTAGAATAATTGATTCATCATCATCATCATCATTACAGCCCCTCACAAGTCCACTGCTGAACATAGGCCTCCCCCAAAGAATGCCACAAAGCACGGTCCTGAGCCACCTGCATCCATCGACTTCCTGCATGTCTTACCAGGTCGTCACTCCATCTCGTGGGGGGACGCCCTACACTTCGCCTACCGGTACGAGGCTGCCACTCGAGAACCTTTCTTCCCCATCGGTTGTCGGTTCTTCGAGCTATATGGCCGGCCCACTGCCACTTCAGCTTACTAATCCGTTGGGCTATGTCGGTTACTCTGGTTCTACTGCGGATAATTGATTATTTGGAAGTAATAATAAGTTGTAATGCTGTTACTTTATATAAATAAATTATATTTTTTAGTAAAGTCGTTGTTGTTAACTTAATTGGCGCAGCCGTTAGGATATTCGTAGTTGTTTAGAAGAATCTGTATCGTCGTGATCCAGTACCGGTATCCTGACAACGTGCGTTTCAACGCTTTGACGAATATCACCGAACAAACAAATAAATTAAGGACTTCGCGACTCCAGCAGAAACAGCCGAGACTCCAGAACCAGCAATATCCCAGAGGGACATGGGCAGACCTGCGAGACTGTGAGTAAAACTCTTCACTTCCCGTAACTTTCCTTTTGTTCCCTCTTGTTCTAGTTATACGTAGGTATTGTCTTGGATTAGAAAACGCCATAACAATACTCTTCTACTAAGCAATCTAAATTTTATTAGTAGATCTTAGTTAAATCAATTTTATTTGGGTATATTTTTTTTTGTTGTTGTGTGATAGTTATTTTATTATAAAATGGAAAACATTGAAAGAATCCCCGTAGAGATGACAAAAATTATCCCACTTTTTGATGGAGACGCTAGACTACTACCTTTATTCATAAAAAAATGTGAGTATATTTTACAAAGATTCCAAGGTAGTAATTTACAAAATGAATATTTATTTCATGTCATTACTAGTCACTTGACAGGGGAAGGCGCTAATTTAGTGGGAGAAAGGGAACAGATAGACTCTTGGGCAGACCTCAAGTCGTTGCTAAACCAACACTTTGGCGATCCAAGGTCCGAAGAATGCTTAGCTATGGAGTTAGAAAGTCTAAGAAAATATAGAAACGAAAGTTACCAAGAATTTTGTCACCGGGTACAACATTTAAAAAGCATTTTGTTTTCTAAAATAAACGAAACTATTAATAACCGAGACTTACGACTAGCTAAACAAACTATATACGACAACACCGCATTGAACGTTTTCTTGTACAATTTACCCGCTTATTTAGTGAGATTAGTAAGACTACGTAATGTTACTACCCTAGAAGATGCATTAAAAATCGTCTTAGAGGAACAGAACTTCCAAACAGTTTATGATAATAGGAACCCAAGATCTAATCAAAATTTTAGACAAAACTATTTCCAAAATCATCCCAATTTTAATCGTAATAATAATTATAAAGGCCCAAGTTTTCAATCTCAAACAAATGGCCATCCATCGAATAACCAAAATAATTCATTTAATTCAAATAATATTTCTCCTCACTTCGGGAATAATCATACAATGAGCAATAGAAATAACTTTAATACGAACTCTGGAACTAGGTCGCCAGTACGACCGTCATCGGCGCAACACCGTCAGCATATTTCGCGAAACGCAACGAATAATATACAATATCAAACGCCACATGTGTCGTCGAACTCAAGTACTGACGTCACAATGAGGACAGCTAGTTCAAGACGCGTAAATTATACAGACACTGAAAATAATATTCAACCTAGTACCTCGCAAAACCAAGGTAATTTTAACCCTTATTCGGCCGATGGGGAATATGAACAGATAGGAAATTTTTTTATAACAGCCTCAACAATACGGAAAAAATAGAGATTAATTATACAAACATTTTAAATTTGTCTCATATACGTATACCAGAATTGAATGCAGTTTTCATGTTAGACACGGGGAGCACAAGATCGTTTATCAGCCCGGAGGTAGCAAATTATTATTATAAAAGTTTTAAGCTATTCGAGCCTTTTGAAGTCATCAGCACTCATGCATCAAGTAGACATGAGGAAGTTGTTTATATTACCTTGCCTAGCATTTTTAAAACTCAAATAAAACATAAATTTTACGTTTATAGTGTGGACGAAAGATATGATGGCTTAATAGGAAGCGAATTATTAAAAGTTTTAGACGCTTCTATCGATATGAAAAACTTAACTCTGATTACAAAAAATGCTAAAATTCCTATAATTTATTCACCACCGATAAAAAAACGTATATGTTGCCGCCAAGATGTGAACTTAGAGTTTCATTATCAGTAAACCTAAGTAAAGGAGAAGCAATTTTGAATCACGTACAATTTAGCGAAGGTGTTAGAATGCCGACAGCTTTGGTTAAGTGTGAAAATAGTCTCGCTACCACAGTAATACAAAATTGTACTGACGTAGAACAAAAACTGGTAGTTACGTCACCTTTTAAAGTGGAACCATTTGAAATAGCCACATTATTAAAGAAAAACAATGAAACAAATTTAATTTTGCAAATCACCGAGATGTAAACGAACTACTTAATGAAAATTTAAAAAAGTTGAGGTTAGATCATATGAATGAAGAGGAGAAAAATACGATAGAAAAATTATGTAGAGAATATAAAGATATCTTCTACTGTGAACATTTACCCTTAACTTTTACTAATGAAGTAAAACACGAGATAAAGACTAAAAACGAGGATCCAATCAATATTAAAGCTCACCGTCTACCACCAGTCCAAACGGAAGAAATAAAAAGACAGGTAGAAAAAATGTTAAAAGATAACATTATTCAGGAATCTCACTCTCCTTGGAGAGCACCGGTTCATCGAGTACCAAAAAAATTAGACGCATCGGGTATCAAAAATTGGAGAATGGTCATCGATTATCGACGAATAAACGACATTACGACTGATGATACATATCCTTTGCCCAACATTAACGATCTATTCGACATGTTAGGTAAAAGTACATATTTTACAACACTGGACTTAGCGTCAGGCTATCACCAGATAGAAGTCAGAGAAGAAGATAGATCAAAGACCGCATTTAGTACACCTTTCGGTCACTATGAGTTTAATAGAATGCCTTTTGGAATGAAGACAGCTCCTGCTACGTTTCAAAGAGCAATGGACAACGTGTTGAGAGGACTACAAGGAATACATTGTTTAGTTTATTTGGACGATGTCATTATTTTCTCAAAAAGCTTACCTGAACACATAGAAAAACTTAAAGCCGTTTTTGAAAGATTCAGAAGAACAAACTTCAAAGTACAGCTGGATAAGTCACATTTTTTAAGAAAAGAGGTGTTGTACTTACGTCATACAATAACTAATGAGGGCCTCAAGCCCAATACAAATAAAATAGATGCTGTACTTAAGTACCCTCTTCCAAAAACAGTGACAGAAATTAAAAGTTTTTTAGGATTAGTCGGTTACTATCGCAAATTCATCAAAGACTTTGCGAAAATAACAAGACCTCTTACAGTTTGTTTAAAAAAGGGTAATAACATAATTTTGAACGAAAAATATAAGGAAAGTTTTGAAACCTGTAAAAAACTTTTAACAAATGCTCCATTATTACAATTCCCAGATTTTGAAAAACCTTTCATATTAACAGCCGATGCATC